ACACTGTGCTGCTCCATTTTTCTCAACTGGAGCTAGATAAAGAAACATTTCATGATTTATTTTCCACATTGTAAAATAATAATTTGCTTCGCTTGTCAGATGGCTGGGAGAAAGCTTCAGAGAGATACTCTCATCTTTCTGTGACTCTACCACGTGCTGGAAAACTAAGAAACACTCACCCTGTCCCCTAGAGCTGAATACATTTTGTCTGAGCAGGACAAGCCTCCAAGAGCTTGTTGCAGCTCCTTTCTGGCTAAGGGACATCTTCCAGGCATTGGCTATTCGGCTGTATCTTGGCTGAGAGAACAAGAACATTGTTTCATGAAAACGTGAACATAGTATCTCCCTTTTCCACACTCTCCTCCAGCCTCACAGATCAGTGTCCCCTGGACTGCTCACAGCCCCCACTCTTTGCTAAGAGTGAACAAGGGGACGGGGACATAAAAGCTCTCAGGCCTTCAGACCCTGGCCCCCGGGTTTGGTACTTCCCAGCGACTCTGAAGAATAGCATGCTTTCTGGGGCGCCTTGCCAGGACCCCCCCAAGAACAGCTTCTTGTGCCCTCACTTCTGGCCGCCCCCTCTTCCTGGCTATCCTTGAGCTTCCCTCCAAACTGGAGCACAGCTGTCATGGTTAATGTCACCACAGACCCAGGAAGAGAGCTTATTTGGTAAGTCAACAGAGACTGAATGCCACTGGAAACCTCCCCAGAGTGAGTCACCAACGCGCAGCTTTAAAAAAATGTCCTTTCCGAGTGATATGACAGCATTTGAGGGCTGGAGGGGGTGAGAACGAGGGAGGGAGGCTGCTCCACAGAGCCCTCTCTACAGCTTCTTCAGACCAATGTTTACTTCTGCCGGGAACTTCAGAGGATCAAAGGCTAGAAGGGATCACCTCCTTCAATCCTTGCCCCCACCACATTGCTACCTCATGTGACACTGAGGGCCTGGCTTCAGTGACAAGATCCCACATGACAAGACAAAAACTATGCATGGTGAGATTCCGCCAGCACGAGAAGCTGAGAGTCAGGCAGGATGCCAGGGGGTCGTCTGATCACTCCTCAGAATGAAGGGTAGGTGGTGGGTGCGGGACAGCAGGGGACCTGCAGACCGACCACCTGAGTCCCACTCCTGCCTCCACCACTAGTCAGGTGAGAGAGCTTATGCAAGTCGACAACCTCTCTGAGCTTCAGTTTCCACATCTGTAAAATCAGAGTGGCAGCTGTTCCTGCCTCGAACAAATGATGTGGCCATGAAATGAGCTGATCAGTGTAAACACCTGGAGCAGGGCTGGCACACAGGATGCCCTCAGTGGGTGTTCACCCCCTCTCTGGGTCTGTATGTTCGTCAATACCAGCTGCACCTACTAAAGCTCAAGCTGACCTTCTAAAGGAAAACACAGTGGTCCTAATCAATCAATTCCCCCTGCTTTCATCCACTTAACAAATACCTATTGAGCACCTATCATGTTCCTGAACCCCCAGTGGGAGGGGGGCAGTTCTAGAAACAGCATTAGAATGTAACCCACTAAACACTGGAAAGGAATTCTGATGTCAGAAAAAAAAAAAAAGGAATAACCCAATGTAATCAAAGGCATCCTATTTCTTTCCTGTTATTATCCTGTTTTCCCCAAAGCTGAGAAACTCATGGTATCTTTCAGTGGTGGTTGAAAGAGGACTTTCTGAGACAGCGTTGAGAGATATCTGGGCTTAAACATTTCCACCATGCTCAGTAATGCACCCCAAGGACGGCTGGGTGAGGTGGTACCAAGATGGCTGTTGTCCCAGTGTGAGCCTCTTCAGTTGCACTTCTCTCTGCCCCAGCAGGACCCTGCAGCTTCCAGTATTCAGGGCATCCTGTCCAGTGGCGGCAGCGGGCAGGAGGCTCCTGACTCAAGCTGGAGCAGTAAGGCTGCTTAGGAAAAGGAAAGCCAGGCCTGGCTCAGCCTGACATGCTTGCTGGACCCTGACCTACAAGAACCCCTGTGTGCAGGCAGGGGGCCTCAGAGAGGGCACTGGCAGTGCCTGCTGGTGGGCTCTCCAGCATGGGGGAAGTGGAGCTGAGTCCCCCAACAGGAAGTGACCCTGATGCTATGGCCTTGTACTGCCTGTGGCCTTGGGAAGCTCACACACAGATGTTCTTGTCTCAATCACGGGTGATCAACCGCAACCCCAGCCCACTTCTGGACAGCGGTTCTTCATGATGCCAAGTTCCCCACTCCAAGTCCCCTGCACTGCTCCCCCGCCACCACCCTAGGTCTCACAAGGTTGTCAGGAAGTTCACTCACCTCCTGCCTGTGCTCAGTTGGCCCAAAGGAAATGACAAAGTGATTGACAAGGGAAGAATCTGAAATGCATTAAGCACCTACTGTGTGCCAGTCTCCTCAAAACCCCTTAACTTCATTTAATCCTCAGCAAACGTATGGGAGGTAGCTATGGTCATCCCAGTTTTATGAGCATTTACAAAAACCCGAGGCTAAGAGATCATCACAGGCTGGCAAGTGCAGAGCCGGCCATCAGACCCAACTTTGTCTGCCTGTGTGTCCCTTTCTCCATGCAGAGCTGTTTATGCTTTCTCTCTCTTCTTTGCTCTTCCTTTCATGTCTCCAAGCACATCACTAATGGCTCTGCATACTACAAGGCACTTAAAAAAGGACTGCTCTCAGGGAGTGGCTTGTCCCATGCTCCTTAGGCATAAATCATCTTCTTTCAAGATGGGCAGTGAGCACCTCCAGTCCAGGTATGGAAAAGCAACCCTCAGCTCATTCGCCCCAGGCGCCAGGGACCAGACCCCATCGGCCCCCACACGAGTCTCCTGTGAAGGGAAATGGAGTGGGTGCGGAAAGATGGGCCTGGCGTGCTCTGCCTTGAGGGAACCCACAGTTCTCCTAATACACTGGTGGTCCGGGGCCAGCATGGTCGCATCTCGCAGGAGCCTGTGAGCAGTGCAGGCTCTCCAGCCCACCCCAGACCTACTGGTCAGAATCTGCATTTTAGCCCGATTCCCAGGTACACTACTTGGTCTGCACATTCAAGTTTGATAAGCTACCCTGCTCTACAACTTGGGTCAGGTGCTGTGTTGTCACCAGTTTTCTTAACGGGGATGCTATCATGGGCTCTGGCTGTGTCTCGATGAAAGGAAGCCAGGCTGACACAGAGCTGGGAACTTGTGAAACAAATCCTGCAGCCAAGGCCATCGCCAGGACACTACACTGTGGGGATTCCCCACAGCACGCAGGACTCACTGCCTCTCAGAACCTTCCCATCCCCACACTTTGTTACTAGAGGTGACTTTGAAGGGGAAAAAAAAGAATATATCCCCTGGGACAGTGCTGTGAGGCATTGCCAACAGCTTGTGTCACTGTTTCCTATGAAAGCACGGCTCGCGTCCCTGCCCTGGTGTGTCACCTCCGTCAGCTACTGAGGACTTCACCTGGCAGCCCCAGATTTTCTTTAGTCCTTGCCTGATAAATAAGTGCTTAGGCCCATGCAAGTAGCACCAGGTGACCCACAACCACTGTGGGAGGGACCCAGTGATGCAGGGGGTCTCAGAGAAGCCAGAGGCAGAGCACATGGAGGCAGGGGCGAGTCTCTTCTTTCAGTGACACCAGAGAGGAACTATCCACACGCCTCACTCCTCTGTCCCAGGATAAACACAAAGCAATTTTTTTTAGGTTGGGGGCGGGGGGGGGGGGGGGGGCAGGAGTGGGGACTGCCAGGCACAGAGCCAGGAGCCTCATCCACACCCTGACCCCATCCTCACAGATCTCCTCCGAGCCCACCAGAGCCCAGGAACACTGCCCAGAACCTGGGCAGGAAGCAGGTTAGCAGGCAGGGGCCCTCTCTCCCATGACCACAGCCTGGCACAGCCCCACCTGGGATGGGGAAGACATGGGATCTCAGATGACCTTACCTGGACTCCTGGGAATCAGGAGCCCCTCCACCACCAGCATGAGTTTTGGATGAGAATTAACTCCTCCCCCACCATTTCAGCCCATCCCCAGCCTCCCAGAAAACCTTTCCTGAAGTTTCCGACCACAACCACTCCCCTCCCCACCCGCTCAACACATACACAGTGTTTTTCTTCTCCACTCCAGTCTGCACCATGGAGTGTGGTCCAGGAGGCCCCAAAGACACAGGACAGAGTGGATAAACAGGGCACAGAGCACGCAGGAAGCCTACCCCCATCATCACCCGAAGCTTCCCCGCCCCCCCCCCCCAGTGCTCCCTTCCTTTCCGCAGATGGGCGCCCGGACCTCTGCGGCGAGAGGCCGCGCACCCGTTTTCGACACCCACGGGAGGCAAACCGGCAGCCAGCCGTCCCACCGGTGCGAGTTTGCCGGGACGCCGGGACCCGCGCAGCTGGGCAGTCCTGCCCCATCCCGTCCCTACTTAATCCTTGGTCCGAAATAGCCCGGGGTAATTCCGGAGTGAGGCGGGAGGGGTATTAATTAACCCGGAGTCGCCAAAGAAGACACAGAGGTGTCCAGAGGGAGTAGGGCTTGGAGCGTCCGGGGCTGGAGGCAGCTCAGAGTCACTTATGGAGGGACTGCGACCTGCGAGCGACCCAGGCCCGCTCGAGGGCGGGATCTGCGCTTTCTGCGCCCCCACCCGCCTGCTCCCGGGGTCTCGAGTCAGGAGTTCTGGTCCCACTACCCAGAGCTCCAGCTCTGTGTCCCAGAGAGCCCCCAGTGGAGAGGCCGACCTCGCAACCCAGCTCTCAGGTCCCAAGCCGTCTATCCACGGAGAGCCGGGCGGGTGGGAGCGCAGGGCAGCGCCATGGAGCCCCTTTCCAAGGGAACCCAGTCATTGCCCGAGATCGAGCCCCAGGTCGGGACAGCGACCCCGTCGGGAGTCCCCCGGTGCACCTCGGGGTCTCCTGGCGGACAGGGCGCTCGCCGGCTGGGAACCCTCCCCGGCGACTTAGAGGGAAACGCCCCCCCCCGACCCCGCAAGAAGTTCGCGCGCCCCCGACACGCCCGCCGCCCCCGGTCCCCGCTCACTTGTCGCGGCGGCCACCGAGCTCCGGGATGGCGCCGAGTGGTGGCGGGCCAGGGCCGGGGGCCGGGCGGCGGGCGCACGCGGCCAGGTGTCGCCGGTGCCGCTCCAGCAGGCCGGCGTTCTCGCTGCTCAGCCGCGCCACTTGGCGCTCCAGCTCCTCGATGCGCCGCCCCCGGCGCGCCAGCAGCTCCTGCTGCGCCGCGACGATCCGGGTCAGCTCCTGCAGGTACTCGGCCGCCTTGCCGGGGGACTCGGCGGCGTTGGCCATGGTCCCCGCCCCGCGGCCCGCCGCGCCTCAGG